CTATTTATACGACTCCGGTCTTTCCAGAATAATCCTAGCGTATGGCCTGCTCCCAGACATTCTGGAATAATCTTGACTACGTCCACTGCGCCTAATATGTGGGTGGTCGTCTGGCTTTCTTGGCTTACGGCATATGCGTAGGCGTGGGCGTCTGGCATGCGAGCGTGACGTACTCCGGGCGTTCCTTTTCGCCGACTGCCGTGAGTGCACGGGGGCTCTCGCCTACGTAACAGAAAGTCTCCAAAGTAAGAGGTGAGTTATCAATTCCTATGCGAAAAAAAACACAGGAACCGTTGTTCACCGAACGGGGGAAGGTAGATATATTATAAATGCTGTACTTGGACTGCAAACAAAAGACGATTTTATTCGCAGGCGCAGAAGATATGTAATGTAAGGTTTAATATGAACGTTATTCAAGCACTTGGTGTAATCGTCGTACATGTGGAATTCTCATGGATTTCGTCGCATTTGGTTAAAAGGAGTTCATAATCATTTCCGAAATGGTAGGCCGATAATATGGCACACCAAGGGCATATAAACTTTCGGAATCGACCTAGTTAATGAGTTTCCTTCATTCCCGAAAGCAAACTTTATCCCCAGGGCTCTGCTGCACCTCACAGTATTAGAACGATGCGCTTATGCGCTGTGAGAGTGCTCGCAATGGCGGCAAAGGTACTCGCGTGATTACGGCTGTTTAGAACCCATCATCAATCCTTCCTTGCTTCTCACCGGCTACTCTGACTGCGATTTTCAGGTAACGAGCGAGCCACTAGCAAAAACGATGTTTCGAGTGATGAGCTATCAGTGCGCGTATGTGTCAGTGTCTGCAGTTCAGTCTGACTCTCAGGGAATGGGTCACAGGTCACATGTAGCCTATGAGTGGACTGATTCAGTTTGATTGGCCAAGTTTTGCAAGAGGAGTGTTTCAGACGATGAGCATGGTGTCAGACCAGATTAAACTCGTTAATCGAAACTCCTTTGTATAGTATTTGAGTGTGCTCAAAGCCCTAAGATGACTCCCGAACACGGTGCACGTTGTCTGGCCTCTAGCAAGGGAGTTAAGGAGCCAAATGCAACCATGGCACTCCGAAAATGAATCGTTTATATCAATCAAATATATGGTAATCAAGTAAAGTTTCATCAAGTATTATTTTACATGTTTCAATGCTTACAGCAAGAACAACCGAAAAAGATAATATGTTCAATTATTAAATCATCCGATGGGAAAATAAGTTGGCCCGCGTTTCAAGTTTGACGTAATCTGTCCTCAGTTAGTATGGGTGAACTCCGAGATTTGTCGTTCGTGTCGGTTCCAAAAAATCTGTCATTTAAAAGACAGAGTTCACTGCACTGACGAGTTTGAAGACCATCATCATATCCCCTATAGGAAAACTCTAAAGTCGCACTATTCAGTCCTCATAAGGCAAGAAAGTGAACATCATTCGAATCCAAAAAGGGTTCCCTTATAGTATGCAACAAGGAAATCGCGCTCTTCGTCAATGTCGTTCAATTCGTCATCAGCACGCTGAGGTCATAATTGGGTTTCCACGTCTTGTAAGGCTGCAAAGTGGAAAAAGTAGCTTCTACGATCGTAGGTCTGCCCTGGCTGCCTAGGTGAATTTTTGTAAACCTGTCGAAGTTGAACGACAGAAGCCAAAGATTCGACCACTCCTGCAATCTATTTTGGTTGATACGTAGTCTAACCTCACCACCATCGCTCGTAATTGTATTCCAGATTTTCAGTCGTCGGCTTGCATAGTTGCGTTACAGTTAACATATCTGACACAACTGTCTATACATATTGAGAGTAGGTCCTTAAACAGAACCCGGGGAAAATCTACTGTCAACCGCAGTAGAACTCGAATTCTGTTTGTCGATGCATACAATCTGGTGCGGACCCATAAGTAAGTTATCGATCCATCTGAGGAAGTTTTCTCGGATTCTTTTTTGTTCTAGTCTGCAAAACATTGTCTGCTGTGGCACAACATTGAAGGCTTTTTGTACGTCAACGATTGCAAAGTGAACCACGTGTCTATCCTCGAAAGTTCAGGTGTAGCTCTGGAAAGATTGCAGCAAATTGTAT